GGGTTGTCTTTGGCGCCCCCTAGAACCTAAACCGTGGGGTGCAGCGTCATGATTTGAATAACTTTTAATGGCCATGGGGTGTAGATTGGCCTGAGCAAATGTGGTGCCGGTGGAACGAAAGCCTTAGGAGGAGTTAGCCATATTCCAATGTGTGCGCATCGGCAAAAAATGCGGAATAACCCTTTAACCGTACATTTGACAGATACGCGCGCATTGACTTTTTCGTAGATCTTATTGAGTTACATGTGTGTGTCAATTTTTGTGTCATTTTGACAAAGCGTATAGGCGTGACACTCAACAATGTGTATTTTCACCTTAGGGGACAAGAAAAAATGGACTTTTTTCTCCTGCCATGGGGGGGCGCTCTTTTGGGGAGTAAAAATTCCTTCACAAATGTGTTGATGGCTGGACATTGCATCATCCTAGAAAACTTGGAGGCCAGTGAGGACAAAAATAAAAAGTTATAAGACTTTTAAATATGTGGATTTTAGTGTTATCTTTGGCGCCCCCTAGAACCTAAACCTTGGGGTGCAGCGTCATGATTTTGATAACTTTTAATGGCCACGGGGTGTAGATTGGCCTGAGCAAATGTGGTGCCGGTGGAACGAAAGCCTTCGGAGGAGTTAGCGAAAATCCAATGTGTGCGGATCGGCAAAAAATGCGAAATAACCCTTTAACCGTAATTTTGACAGATACGCCCGCACTGACTTTTTTGTAGATCTTATTGAGATACATGTGTGTGTCAATTTTTGTGTCAATATGACAAAGCGTACAGGCGTGACAGTCAATAGTGTGAATTTCCACCTTAGGGGGCGCTATGGAGCCATTTTGCATTTTATTGTTTTGGCGACTTCAGAATATCAAATTTTTCACCAGGCCCGGTCGTCCTGCCAAATTTCCTGAGTTTTCGCCAGTGGGAAGTGGGCCATTTTCCAGTTCAAAGGGGAGGAAAAAGAAGAAAGAAAGAAACAAAGAAAAACCCCTACAGGAATAACAGGGCCTACGCCCGGCTGCTCTGCAGCTGGCTCGGGCCCTAACTAGGACCCCGTTGGGGCACTGGCGGGCCCGAGCCGTGTCGCCCCCCCCCCCCCCCAACCCGCTGCCTCCCCGTCCCATTTGTGTCCTCTGGCCCATCGCCCTCTCTGGTAACGCCCATCACTGCGAAGACCCTTTTCCTTCATCGGCGTTTGCTGTTCTTCCTGCCAGTGCGTGTTGCTTTCACTTACACTTGCCACAGCCAGCCTCGTGAGTGCCTAGCCTATTCGATATCACTGTCACCTACACAGGACAGTCATTACCTTTCTATTAATACTTTGTGTTTTAATTTCACATTAATTTCCATATTGTATAAACGACTGGAAAAAACTTGAGCCCCTGCCCCTGTATAATCATGTGCATGTCTCTGTTCTAGCTCCAAGGTGAATCTTCACTGCTCATGTTCTCCTCAGAAGCACTCACCTCACTCCCCTCAGGTTACTGTACACATGCACCAACTGCCTGCTTCAGGTTTGGATGGAGCTTCATGGTTGTCTTTTGGAGAAATGACCAGTCAAGTTGTGTTTGAAATTTGATTTTTTTCAGGGGCAAAAGGAGCCTCTGCATTCTTGTCAAATATGTAAATAGCATGTTTTTGCAGGTGCTAAAAACCAGACTCTGAGTGTGTGTGTGTGTGTGTGTGTGTGTGTGTGCGTGTGTGTGTGTCTGTGTGTGCGTTCAAGTCACATGACATATTTAACCGGATGTAGCTGCAAGACGGAGCCTCGTTGACTCTCCGTTTCAACTTATCTCAACCTATATACCAGTTTTTAAATTGTGTTGATAGGCCAAATAAAACCAGAGTTATGATAAATTATGTCCGCGATACTTTTTTTCTGCTTATTTTGATCACGTTCGGCGCTCGATCGCGCTGTATGAGACAGGAAAACATAGCATGCAGACATTAGCGACAGGTCTTACAGGCGGAAAAGGCTTGCCAAAAGAAAAAAAAACACACCACAACATCTCTCCTATTGGTGGAAAACTTCACCACAACAACCAATCCAAAATTATATGGTGACTGATTGACAAGGGGCGGGCGCTTACGTTCTTCCTGCAACATGAGAAGGGAGGGAGGGACTCTCAGCAGGGATGCAGTCTGGGACACGTAGTTGCAAACCTAGCGACTTTGTTGTTAGATTCAATGACTTTTCAGACCCCCTAACGACTTTGTTTTAGAAAGAAAGGGACTTTTATCGACTTCTTCTGGAGTTTAGAGACTCTGACATGAAGCAGGCTTTCCTTACTGAGGAGTTAGCAACGCTGCTAAGGGTGCAGAGCCACACATGCGCTCAGAGCTCTGCATGGGAGACTGAAGCTGACAGAGCTGCAGCAGTTAGCAGGTTTCACCCTCAGAGACCACCAGGGGTTCATGTTGAGGCATTTTAATTTTTTTTTTTTTTTGTGCCATAGAAACTGTCAGCACAATCTGCAGTTACACTAACAAAAATGCTGCAAAAAACAAAGAATTATGGAAAAATTACACATGGACTGACATAGAGGAGGATCTACACAAGTTTTTTACATCATGTTTTACATCATGCATTATTTACATCATGTTTTTTTGTAGTGGCATAAATAAAAAGTGACATTTGTGAGACTATACAGTGTTTTGTAAATAATTTTACAAAGAACGCCTGGGCCATTGCCTGCATTTTGATGTAAATAGAGGTAAATCACTATGTTCTTTGTTAAAAATTTGCATATGTTTTGAAGTTTACAATTTTTATTTGAAGTTTAAGTTTTAAAAACAGTTCATCACACATATTTGTGGTTTTCAAAGTAAAAATGTTACTTTTTTCCACTCGGATTTTATGTTTTGTGTGTGAATTTGGGTCCATTGTGTAAATTCAGTATGTCAACATGATAAAATAACTGTAAATTCGCACAGGTGAGGTTGTGCTGAAAAAAATGATACCAGGCAAGGCACGTGATTGTCAAATTTTGTGTCAATATGACAAAGCGTATAGGCGTGAATCTCAACAATATGTATTTTCACCTTAGGGGACAAGAAAAAATGGACTTTTTTCTCCTGCCATGGGGGGGCGCTCTTTTGGGGAGTAAAAATTCCTTCACAAATGTGTTGATGGCTGGACATTGCATCATCCTAGAAAACTTGGAGGCCAGTGAGGACAAAAATAAAAAGTTATAAGACTTTTAAATATGTGGATTTTAGGGTTGTCTTTGGCGCCCCCTAGAACCTAAACCGTGGGGTGCAGCGTCATGATTTGAATAACTTTTAATGGCCATGGGGTGTAGATTGGCCTGAGCAAATGTGGTGCCGGTGGACAGAAAGCCTTCGGAGGAGTTAGCGAAATTCCAATGTGTGCGGATCGGCAAAAAATGCGGAATAACCCTTTAACCGTACATTTGACAGATACGCGCGCATTGACTTTTTCGTAGATCTTATTGAGTTACATGTGTGTGTCAATTTTTGTGTCATTTTGACAAAGCGTATAGGCGTGACACTCAACAATGTGTATTTTCACCTTAGGGGACAAGAAAAAATGGACTTTTTTCTCCTGCCATGGGGGGCGCTCTTTTGGGGAGTAAAAATTCCTTCACAAATGTGTTGATGGCTGGACATTGCATCATCCTAGAAAACTTGGAGGCCAGTGAGGACAAAAATAAAAAGTTATAAGACTTTTAAATATGTGGATTTTAGGGTTATCTTTGGCGCCCCCTAGAACCTAAACCGTGGGGTGCAGCGTCATGATTTTGATAACTTTTAATGGCCACGGGGTGTAGATTGGCCTGAGCAAATGTGGTGCCGGTGGAACGAAAGCCTTCGGAGGAGTTAGCGAAATTCCAATGTGTGCGGATCGGAAAAAAATGCGAAATAACCCTTTAACCGTACATTTGACAGATACGCCCGCACTGACTTTTTTGTAGATCTTATTGAGATACATATGTGTGTCAATTTTTGTGTCAATATGACAAAGCGTACAGGCGTGACAGTCAATAGTGTGAATTTCCACCTTAGGGGGCGCTATGGAGCCATTTTGCATTTTATTGTTTGGGCGACTTCAGAATATCGAATTTTTCACCAGGCCCGGTCGTCCTGCCAAATTTCATGAGTTTTCGCCAGTGGGAAGTGGGCCATTTTCCCCTTCAAAGGGGAGGAAAAAGAAGAAAGAAAGAAAGAAAGAAAGAAAGAAAGAAACAAAGAAAAACCACTTGGGGAATAATAGGGCTCTCGCAGCTGCTTAGCAGCTACGCTCGGGCCCTAAAGAAGAAGAAGAACTAGGGCCCCGTTGGGGCACTGGCGGGCCCGAGCCGTGTCGCCACCCCCCCCCCCCCCCCCAACGCGCTGCCTCCCCGTCCCATTCGTGTCCTCTGGCCATCGCCCTCTCTGGTAACGCCCATCACAGCAAAGACCCTTTTCCTTCATCGGCGTTTGCTGTTCTTCCTGCCAGTGCGTGTTGCTTTCACATACACTTGCCACAGCCAGCCTCGTGAGTGCCTAGCCTATTGGATATCACTGTCACCTACACAGGACAGTCATACTTTGTTTTTTAATTTCACATTAATTTCCATATTGTATAAACGACTGGAAAAAACTTGAGCCCCTGCCCCTGTATTATCATGTGCACGTCCCTGTTCTAGCTCCAAGGTGAATCTTCACTGCTCATGTTCTCCTCAGAAGCAGTCACCTCACTCCCCTCAGGTTACTGTACACATGCACCAACTGCCTGCTTCAGGTTTGGATGGAGCTTCATGGTTGTCTTTTGGAGAAATGAGCAGTCAAGTTGTGTTTGAAATTTGATTTTTTTCAGGGGCAAAAGGAAGCCTCTGCATTCTTGTCAAATATGTAAATAGCATGTTTTTGCAGGTGCTAAAAAACAGACTCTGAGTGTGTGTGTGTGTCTGTGTGTGTGTGTGTGTGTGTGTGTGTGTGTGTGTATCCTGCAGTACTCTGAGAAGAATAATAAGCATATTTCTGAGGTGAATTTTGAAGATTCATCTGAGAGTTAGGTTTGATTCGATTCGATTGACGCTCCCCAGCGTTCAAGTCACATGACATATTTAACCGGATGTAGCTGCAAGACGGAGCCTCGTTGACTCTCCGTTTCAACTTATCTCAAAAGTGAGGACCTCAACCTATATACCAGTTTTTAAATTGTGTTGATAGGCCAAATAAAACCAGTTATGATAAATTATGTCCGCGATACTTTTTTTCTGCTTATTTTGATCACGTTCGGCGCTCGATCGCGCTGTATGAGACAGGAAAACATAGCATGCACACATTAGCGACAGGTCTTACAGGCGGAAAAGGCTTGCCAAAAGAAAAAAAAAACACACCACAACATCTCTCCTATTGGTGGAAAACTTCACCACAACAACCAATCCAAAATTATATGGTGACTGAATGACAAGGGGCGGGCGCTTACGTTCTTCCTGCAACATGAGAAGGGAGGGAGGGACTCTCAGCAGGGATGCAGTCTGGGACACGTAGTTGCAAAACTAGCGACTTTGTTGTTAGATTCAATGACTTTTCAGACCCCCTAACGACTTTTTTTTAGAAAGAAAGGGACTTTTATCGACTTCTTCTGGAGTTTAGAGACTCTGACATAAAGCAGGCTTTCCTTACTGAGGAGTTAGCAACGCTGCTAAGGGTGCAGAGCCACACATGCGCTCGGAGCTCTGCATGGGAGACTGAAGCTGACAGAGCTGCAGCAGTTAGCAGGTTTCACCCTCAGAGACCACCAGGGGTTCATGTTGAGGCATTTTCAGTTTTTGTTATTTTTGCCATAGACTGTCAGCACAATCTGCAGTTACACTAACAAAAATGCTGCAAAAAACAAAGAATTATGGAAAAATTACACATGGACTGACATAGAGGAGGATCTACACAAGTTTTTTACATCATGTTTTACATCATGCATCATTTACATCATGTTTTTTTGTAGTGGCATAAATAAAAAGTGACATTTGTGAGACTATACAGTGTTTTGTAAATAATTTTACAAAGAACGCCTGGGCCATTGCCTGCATTTTGATGTAAATAGAGGTAAATTACTATGTTCTTTGTTAAAAATTTGCATATGTTTTGAAGTTTACAATTTTTATTTGAAGTTTAAGTTTTAAAAACAGTTCATCACACATATTTGTGGTTTAATTTCACATTAATTTCCATATTGTATAAATGACTGGAAAAAACTTGAGCCCCTGCCCCTGTATAATCATGTGCACGTCCCTGTTCTAGCTCCAAGGTGAATCTTCACTGCTCATGTTCTCCTCAGAAATAGTCACCTCACTCCCCTCAGGTTACTGTACACATGCACCAACTATCTGCTTCAGGTTTGGGTGGAGCTTCATGGTTGTCTTTTGGAGAAATGAACAGTCAAGTTGTGTTTGAAATCTGATTTTTTTCAGGGGCAAAAGGAAGCCTCTGCATTCTTGTCAAATATGTAAACAGCATGTTTTTGCAGGTGCTAAAAAACAGACTCTGAGTGTGTGTGTGTGTGTGTGTGTGTGTGTGTATGTGTGTGTATCCTGCAGTACTCTGTACTCCTGCAGTGGCCAAAAAGACTTTTAAGAATGTGGATTTTTGGGTCATCTTTGGCGCCCCCTAGAACGTAAACCGTGGGGTGCAGCGTCATGATTTTTACAACTTTGAATGGGCATGGGGTGTAGATTGCCCTGAGCAAATTTGGTATCGGTGGGACGAAAGCCTTAGGAGGAGATAGCCACATTCCAATGTGTGCGAATCGGCAAAAAATGCGAAATAGCCCTTTAACCGTACATTATACAGATACGCGCTTTTTGACTTTTTCATAGATCTAATTGAGATACACATGATTGTCAATTTTTGTGTCAATATGACAAAGCGTTCAGGCGTGACACTCAACAATGTGTATTTTCATGTAAGGGGACAAGAAAAAATTGACTTTTTTCTCCTGCCATGGGGGGGCGCTCTTTTGGGGAGTAAAAATTCCTTCACAAATGTGTTGATGGCTGGACATTGCATCATCCTAGAAAACTTGGAGGGCAGTGAGGACAAAAATAAAAAGTTATAAGACTTTTAAGAATGTGGATTTTGGGTTATCTTTGGCGCCCCCTAGAACGTAAACCGTGGGGTGCAGCGTCATGATTTGTACAACTTTGAATGGCCATGGGGGGTAGATTGGCCTGCGCAAATGTGGTGCCGGTCGAACGAAAGCCTTCGGAGGAGTTAGCGAAATTCCAATGTGTGCAGATCTGCAAAAAATGCAAAATAACCCATTAACCATACATTTGACAGATACGCCCGCACTGACTTTTTTGTAGATCTTATTGAGATACATGTGTGTGTCAATTTTTGTGTCAATATGACAAAGCGTACAGCCGTCATGTGAATTTTCACCTTAGGGGGCGCTATGGAGCCATTTTGCATTTTATTGTTTGGGCGACTTCAGAATATCGAATTTTTCACCAGGCCCGGTCGTCCTGCCAAATTTCCTGAGTTTTCGCCAGTGGGAAGTGGGCCATTTTCCAGTTTAAAGCGGAGGAAAAATAATAACGAAAGAAGGAAACATGCAGGAACAAGAGGGCTCTCGCAGCTGCTTAGCAGCTACGCTCGGGCCCTAAAGAAGAATCCATCAGGAATAATAGGGCTCTCGCAGCTGCTTAGCAGCTACGCTCGGGCCCTAAAGAAGAAGAAAGACTAGGGCCCCGTTGGGGCACTGGCGGGCCCGAGCTGTGTCGCCCCCCCCCCCCCCAACGCGCTGCCTCCCCGTCCCATTCGCGTCCTCTGGCCATCGTCCTCTCTGGTAACGCCCATCACTGCAAAGACCCTTTTCCTTCATCGGCGTTTGCTGTTCTTCCTGCCAGTGCGTGTTGCTTTCACTTACACTTGCCACAGCCAGCCTTGTGAGTGCCTAGCCTATTGGATATCACTGTCACCTACACAGGACAGTCATTACCTTTCTATTAATACTTTGTTTTTTAATTTCACATTAATTTCCATATTGTATAAACGACTGGAAAAAACTTGAGCCCCTGCCCCCGTATAATCATGTGCACGTCCCTGTTCTCGCTCCAAGGTGAATCTTCACTGCTCATGTTCTCCTCAGAAGCAGTCACCTCACTCCCCTCAGGTTACTGTACACATGCACCAACTGCCTGCTTCAGGTTTGGATGGAGCTTCATGGTTGTCTTTTGGAGAAATGAGCAGTCAAGTTGTGTTAGAAATTTGATTTTTTTCAGGGGCAAAAGGAAGCCTCTGCATTGTTGTCAAATATGTAAATAGCATGTTTTTGCAGGTGCTAAAAAACAGACTCTGAGTGTGTGTGTGTGTGTGTGTGTGTGTGTGTGTGTGTGTGTGTGTGTGTCTGTGTGTGTGTGTGTCTGTGTGTGTGTATCCTGCAGTACTCTGTACTCCTGCAGTGGCCAAAACGACTTTTAAGAATGTGGATATTTGGGTCATCTTTGGCGCCCCCTAGAACGTAAACCATGGGGTGCAGCGGCATGATTTTTACAACTTTGAATGGCCATGGGGTGTAGATTGGCCTGAGCAAATTTGGTGTCAGTGGGACGAAAGCCTTAGGAGGAGTTAGCCACATTCCAATGTGTGCGAATCGGCAAAAAATGCAAAATAGCCCTTTAGCCGTACATTTTACAGATACGCGCCCATTGACTTTTTCGTAGATCTTATTGAGATACACGTGTGTGTCAAATTTTTTGTCAATACGACAAAGCGTACAGGCGTGACACTCAACAATGTGTATTTTCACCTTAGGGGACAAGAAAAAATGGACTTTTTATTCCTGCCATGGGGGGGCGCTCTTTTGGGGAGTAAAAATTCCTTCACAAATGTGTTGATGGCTGGACATTGCATCATCCTAGAAAACTTGGAGGCCAGTGAGGACAAAAAAAAAAAATTATAAAACTTTTAAGAATGTGGATTTTTGGGTTATTTTTGGCGCCCCCTAGAACCTAAACCATGGGGTGCAGCATTATGATTTGTACAACTTTGAATGGCCATGGAGTGTAGATTGGCCTGAGCAAATGTGGTGCCGGTGGAACGAAAGCCTTCGGAGGAGTTAGCGAAATTCCAATGTGTGCGGATCTGCAAAAAATGCAAAATAACCCTTTAACCGTACATTTGACAGATACGCCCGCACTGACTTTTTTGTAGATCTTATTGAGATACATGTGTGTGTCAATTTTTGTGTCAATATGACAAAGCGTACAGGCGTGACAGTCAATAGTGTGAATTTTCACCTTAGGGGGCGCTATGGAGCCATTTTGCATTTTCTTGTTTGGGCGACTTCAGAATATCGAATTTTTCACCAGGCCCGGTCGTCCTGCCAAATTTCATGAGTTTTCGCCAGTGGGAAGTGGGCCATTTTCCAGTTTAAAGCGGAGGAAAAATAATAACTAGGGCCCCGTTGGGGCACTGGCGGGCCCGAGCCGTGTCACGCCGCCCCCAGCGCGACCGCCTCCCCCACCCGATCGCGTCACACTCAAGGTCCAAAGATGGTGTGCGCACTTGTTTGTGGTCATTTACCATTATAATGAACGGGAGGCGCAGTTTCTACCAAAACGCTCGCTGCAGAAAAACTCCATGTCCTATTTGAAAAAAGTCTGGACCATGAGTGAGGGCACAAACACAGCTAAGATATATCCAAATGGCAAGTTGCTCCTCCTTTCGCTTTTGCCGAGAGAGCAGTGCGTTTGAGCCATTGAATGATGAACAGGAAAAACTTGACTTTATTCTCCTGCCATGGGGGGGCGCTCTTTTAAAGAGAAAAAACTCCTTCACAAATGTGTTGATGGCTGGACATTGCATCATCCTAGAAAACATGGAGGCCAGTGAGGACAAAAATAAAAAGTTATAAGACTTTTAAATATGTGGATTTTAGGGTTATATTTGGCGCGCCCTAGAACCTAAACCGTGGGGTGCAGCGTCATGATTTGAATAACTTTTAATGGCCATGGGGTGTAGATTGGCCTGAGCAAATGTGGTGCCGGTGGAACGAAAGCCTTCGGAGGAATTAGCGAAATTCCAATGTGTGCGAATCTGCAAAAAATGCGAAATAACCCTTTAACCGTACATTTTACAGATACGTGGCCATTGACTTTTTCGAAGATCTTATGTAAATACACGTGTATGTAAAATTTTTTGTCAATACGACAAAACATACAGGCGTAGCACTCAACAATGTGTATTTTCACCTTAGTGGACAAGAAAAAATTGACTTTTTTCTCCTGCCATGGGGGGCGCTCTTTTGCCGAGTAAAAATTCCTTCACAAATGTGTTGATGGCTGGACATTGCATCATCCTAGAAAACTTGGAGGCCAGTGGGGACAAAAATAAAAAGTTATAAGACTTTTAAATATGTGGATTTTACGGTTATCTTTGGCTCCCCCTAGAACCTAAACCGTGGGGTGCAGCGTCATGATTTGAATAACTTTTAATGGCCATGGGGTGTAGATTGGCCTGAGCAAATGTGGTGCCGGTGGAACGAAAGCCTTCGGAGGAGTTAGCGAAATTCCAATGTGTGCGGATCGGCAAAGGTTTGGATGGATGCCAGGTTTGGATGGAGCTTCATGGTTGTCTTTTGGAGAAATGACCAGTCAAGTTGTGTTTGAAATTTGATTTTTTTTTCAGGGGCAAAAGGAGCCTCTGCATTCTTGTCAAATATGTAAATAGCATGTTTTTGCAGGTGCTAAAAACCAGACTCTGAGTGTGTGTGTGTGTGTGTGTGTGTGTGTGTGTGTGTGTGTGTGTGTGCGTGTGTGTGTGTCTGTGTGTGCGTTCAAGTCACATGACATATTTAACCGGATGTAGCTGCAAGACGGAGCCTCGTTGACTCTCCGTTTCAACTTATCTCAAAAGTGAGGACCTCAACCTATATACCAGTTTTTAAATTGTGTTGATAGGCCAAATAAAACCAGAGTTATGATAAATTATGTCCGCGATACTTTTCTTCTGCTTATTTTGATCACGTTCGGCGCTCGATCGCGCTGTATGAGACAGGAAAACATAGCATGCAGACATTAGCGACAGGTCTTACAGGCGGAAAAGGCTTGCCAAAAGAAAAAAAAAACACACCACAACATCTCTCCTATTGGTGGAAAACTTCACCACAACAACCAATCCAAAATTATATGGTGACTGATTGACAAGGGGAGGGCGCTTATGTTCTTCCTGCAACATGAGAAGGGAGGGAGGGACTCTCAGCAGGGATGCAGTCTGGGACACGTAGTTGCAAACCTAGCGACTTTGTTGTTAGATTCAATGACTTTTCAGACCCCCTAACGACTTTTTTTTAGAAAGAAAGGGACTTTTATCGACTTCTTCTGGAGTTTAGAGACTCTGACATGAAGCAGGCTTTCCTTACTGAGGAGTTAGCAACGCTGCTAAGGGTGCAGAGCCACACATGCGCTCAGAGCTCTGCATGGGAGACTGAAGCTGACAGAGCTGCAGCAGTTAGCAGGTTTCACCCTCAGAGACCACCAGGGGTTCATGTTGAGGCATTTTAATTTTTTTTTTTTTTTGTGCCCTAGACACTGTCAGCACAATCTGCAGTTACACTAACAAAAATGCTGCAAAAAACAAAGAATTATGGAAAAATTACACATGGACTGACATAGAGGAGGATCTACACAAGTTTTTTACATCATGTTTTACATCATGCATCATTTACATCATGTTTTTTTGTAGTGGCATAAATAAAAAGTGACATTTGTGAGACTATACAGTGTTTTGTAAATAATTTTACAAAGAACGCCTGGGCCATTGCCTGCATTTTGATGTAAATAGAGGTAAATCACTATGTTCTTTGTTAAAAATTTGCATATGTTTTGAAGTTTACAATTTTTTTTTGAAGTTTAAGTTTTAAAAACAGTTCATCACACATATTTGTGGTTTTCACAGTAAAAATGTTACTTTTTTCCACTCGGATTTTATGTTTTGTGTGTGAATTTGGGTCCATTGTGTAAATTCAGTATGTCAACATGATAAAATAACTGTAAATTCGCACAGGTGAGGTTGTGCTGAAAAAAAATGATACCAGGCAAGGCACGTGATTGTCAAATTTTGTGTCATTATGACAAAGCATATAGGCGTGAATCTCAACAATATGTATTTTCACCTTAGGGGACAAGAAAAAATGGACTTTTTTCTCCTGCCATGGGGGGCGCTCTTTTGGGGAGTAAAAATTCCTTCACAAATGTGTTGATGGCTGGACATTGCATCATCCTAGAAAACTTGGAGGCCAGTGAGGACAAAAATAAAAAGTTATAAGACTTTTAAATATGTGGATTTTAGGGTTGTCTTTGGCGCCCCCTAGAACCTAAACCGTGGGGTGCAGCGTCATGATTTGAATAACTTTTAATGGCCATGGGGTGTAGATTGGCCTGAGCAAATGTGGTGCCGGTGGAACGAAAGCCTTAGGAGGAGTTAGCCATATTCCAATGTGTGCGCATCGGCAAAAAATGCGGAATAACCCTTTAACCGTACATTTGACAGATACGCGCGCATTGACTTTTTCGTAGATCTTATTGAGTTACATGTGTGTGTCAATTTTTGTGTCATTTTGACAAAGCGTATAGGCGTGACACTCAACAATGTGTATTTTCACCTTAGGGGACAAGAAAAAATGGACTTTTTTCTCCTGCCATGGGGGGGCGCTCTTTTGGGGAGTAAAAATTCCTTCACAAATGTGTTGATGGCTGGACATTGCATCATCCTAGAAAACTTGGAGGCCAGTGAGGACAAAAATAAAAAGTTATAAGACTTTTAAATATGTGGATTTTAGTGTTATCTTTGGCGCCCCCTAGAACCTAAACCTTGGGGTGCAGCGTCATGATTTTGATAACTTTTAATGGCCACGGGGTGTAGATTGGCCTGAGCAAATGTGGTGCCGGTGGAACGAAAGCCTTCGGAGGAGTTAGCGAAAATCCAATGTGTGCGGATCGGCAAAAAATGCGAAATAACCCTTTAACCGTAATTTTGACAGATACGCCCGCACTGACTTTTTTGTAGATCTTATTGAGATACATGTGTGTGTCAATTTTTGTGTCAATATGACAAAGCGTACAGGCGTGACAGTCAATAGTGTGAATTTCCACCTTAGGGGGCGCTATGGAGCCATTTTGCATTTTATTGTTTTGGCGACTTCAGAATATCAAATTTTTCACCAGGCCCGGTCGTCCTGCCAAATTTCCTGAGTTTTCGCCAGTGGGAAGTGGGCCATTTTCCAGTTCAAAGGGGAGGAAAAAGAAGAACTAGGGCCCCGTTGGGGCACTGGCGGGCCCGAGCTGTGTCGCCCCCCCCCCCCCAACGCGCTGCCTCCCCGTCCCATTCGCGTCCTCTGGCCATCGTCCTCTCTGGTAACGCCCATCACTGCAAAGACCCTTTTCCTTCATCGGCGTTTGCTGTTCTTCCTGCCAGTGCGTGTTGCTTTCACTTACACTTGCCACAGCCAGCCTTGTGAGTGCCTAGCCTATTGGATATCACTGTCACCTACACAGGACAGTCATTACCTTTCTATTAATACTTTGTTTTTTAATTTCACATTAATTTCCATATTGTATAAACGACTGGAAAAAACTTGAGCCCCTGCCCCCGTATAATCATGTGCACGTCCCTGTTCTCGCTCCAAGGTGAATCTTCACTGCTCATGTTCTCCTCAGAAGCAGTCACCTCACTCCCCTCAGGTTACTGTACACATGCACCAACTGCCTGCTTCAGGTTTGGATGGAGCTTCATGGTTGTCTTTTGGAGAAATGAGCAGTCAAGTTGTGTTAGAAATTTGATTTTTTTCAGGGGCAAAAGGAAGCCTCTGCATTGTTGTCAAATATGTAAATAGCATGTTTTTGCAGGTGCTAAAAAACAGACTCTGAGTGTGTGTGTGTGTGTGTGTGTGTGTGTGTGTGTGTGTGTGTGTGTCTGTGTGTGTGTGTGTCTGTGTGTGTGTATCCTGCAGTACTCTGTACTCCTGCAGTGGCCAAAACGACTTTTAAGAATGTGGATATTTGGGTCATCTTTGGCGCCCCCTAGAACGTAAACCATGGGGTGCAGCGGCATGATTTTTACAACTTTGAATGGCCATGGGGTGTAGATTGGCCTGAGCAAATTTGGTGTCAGTGGGACGAAAGCCTTAGGAGGAGTTAGCCACATTCCAATGTGTGCGAATCGGCAAAAAATGCAAAATAGCCCTTTAGCCGTACATTTTACAGATACGCGCCCATTGACTTTTTCGTAGATCTTATTGAGATACACGTGTGTGTCAAATTTTTTGTCAATACGACAAAGCGTACAGGCGTGACACTCAACAATGTGTATTTTCACCTTAGGGGACAAGAAAAAATGGACTTTTTATTCCTGCCATGGGGGGGCGCTCTTTTGGGGAGTAAAAATTCCTTCACAAATGTGTTGATGGCTGGACATTGCATCATCCTAGAAAACTTGGAGGCCAGTGAGGACAAAAAAAAAAAATTATAAAACTTTTAAGAATGTGGATTTTTGGGTTATTTTTGGCGCCCCCTAGAACCTAAACCATGGGGTGCAGCATTATGATTTGTACAACTTTGAATGGCCATGGAGTGTAGATTGGCCTGAGCAAATGTGGTGCCGGTGGAACGAAAGCCTTCGGAGGAGTTAGCGAAATTCCAATGTGTGCGGATCTGCAAAAAATGCAAAATAACCCTTTAACCGTACATTTGACAGATACGCCCGCACTGACTTTTTTGTAGATCTTATTGAGATACATGTGTGTGTCAATTTTTGTGTCAATATGACAAAGCGTACAGGCGTGACAGTCAATAGTGTGAATTTTCACCTTAGGGGGCGCTATGGAGCCATTTTGCATTTTCTTGTTTGGGCGACTTCAGAATATCGAATTTTTCACCAGGCCCGGTCGTCCTGCCAAATTTCATGAGTTTTCGCCAGTGGGAAGTGGGCCATTTTCCAGTTTAAAGCGGAGGAAAAATAATAACTAGGGCCCCGTTGGGGCACTGGCGGGCCCGAGCCGTGTCACGCCGCCCCCAGCGCGACCGCCTCCCCCACCCGATCGCGTCACACTCAAGGTCCAAAGATGGTGTGCGCACTTGTTTGTGGTCATTTACCATTATAATGAACGGGAGGCGCAGTTTCTACCAAAACGCTCGCTGCAGAAAAACTCCATGTCCTATTTGAAAAAAGTCTGGACCATGAGTGAGGGCACAAACACAGCTAAGATATATCCAAATGGCAAGTTGCTCCTCCTTTCGCTTTTGCCGAGAGAGCAGTGCGTTTGAGCCATTGAATGATGAACAGGAAAAACTTGACTTTATTCTCCTGCCATGGGGGGGCGCTCTTTTAAAGAGAAAAAACTCCTTCACAAATGTGTTGATGGCTGGACATTGCATCATCCTAGAAAACATGGAGGCCAGTGAGGACAAAAATAAAAAGTTATAAGACTTTTAAATATGTGGATTTTAGGGTTATATTTGGCGCGCCCTAGAACCTAAACCGTGGGGTGCAGCGTCATGATTTGAATAACTTTTAATGGCCATGGGGTGTAGATTGGCCTGAGCAAATGTGGTGCCGGTGGAACGAAAGCCTTCGGAGGAATTAGCGAAATTCCAATGTGTGCGAATCTGCAAAAAATGCGAAATAACCCTTTAACCGTACATTTTACAGATACGTGGCCATTGACTTTTTCGAAGATCTTATGTAAATACACGTGTATGTAAAATTTTTTGTCAATACGACAAAACATACAGGCGTAGCACTCAACAATGTGTATTTTCACCTTAGTGGACAAGAAAAAATTGACTTTTTTCTCCTGCCATGGGGGGCGCTCTTTTGCCGAGTAAAAATTCCTTCACAAATGTGTTGATGGCTGGACATTGCATCATCCTAGAAAACTTGGAGGCCAGTGGGGACAAAAATAAAAAGTTATAAGACTTTTAAATATGTGGATTTTACGGTTATCTTTGGCTCCCCCTAGAACCTAAACCGTGGGGTGCAGCGTCATGATTTGAATAACTTTTAATGGCCATGGGGTGTAGATTGGCCTGAGCAAATGTGGTGCCGGTGGAACGAAAGCCTTCGGAGGAGTTAGCGAAATTCCAATGTGTGCGGATCGGCAAAGGTTTGGATGGATGCCAGGTTTGGATGGAGCTTCATGGTTGTCTTTTGGAGAAATGACCAGTCAAGTTGTGTTTGAAATTTGATTTTTTTTTCAGGGGCAAAAGGAGCCTCTGCATTCTTGTCAAATATGTAAATAGCATGTTTTTGCAGGTGCTAAAAACCAGACTCTGAGTGTGTGTGTGTGTGTGTGTGTGTGTGTGTGTGTGTGTGTGTGTGTGTGTGTGCGTGTGTGTGTGTCTGTGTGTGCGTTCAAGTCACATGACATATTTAACCGGATGTAGCTGCAAGACGGAGCCTCGTTGACTCTCCGTTTCAACTTATCTCAAAAGTGAGGACCTCAACCTATATACCAGTTTTTAAATTGTGTTGATAGGCCAAATAAAACCAGAGTTATGATAAATTATGTCCGCGATACTTTTCTTCTGCTTATTTTGATCACGTTCGGCGCTCGATCGCGCTGTATGAGACAGGAAAACATAGCATGCAGACATTAGCGACAGGTCTTACAGGCGGAAAAGGCTTGCCAAAAGAAAAAAAAAACACACCACAACATCTCTCCTATTGGTGGAAAACTTCACCACAACAACCAATCCAAAATTATATGGTGACTGATTGACAAGGGGAGGGCGCTTATGTTCTTCCTGCAACATGAGAAGGGAGGGAGGGACTCTCAGCAGGGATGCAGTCTGGGACACGTAGTTGCAAACCTAGCGACTTTGTTGTTAGATTCAATGACTTTTCAGACCCCCTAACGACTTTTTTTTAGAAAGAAAGGGACTTTTATCGACTTCTTCTGGAGTTTAGAGACTCTGACATGAAGCAGGCTTTCCTTACTGAGGAGTTAGCAACGCTGCTAAGGGTGCAGAGCCACACATGCGCTCAGAGCTCTGCATGGGAGACTGAAGCTGACAGAGCTGCAGCAGTTAGCAGGTTTCACCCTCAGAGACCACCAGGGGTTCATGTTGAGGCATTTTAATTTTTTTTTTTTTTTGTGCCCTAGACACTGTCAGCACAATCTGCAGTTACACTAACAAAAATGCTGCAAAAAACAAAGAATTATGGAAAAATTACACATGGACTGACATAGAGGAGGATCTACACAAGTTTTTTACATCATGTTTTACATCATGCATCATTTACATCATGTTTTTTTGTAGTGGCATAAATAAAAAGTGACATTTGTGAGACTATACAGTGTTTTGTAAATAATTTTACAAAGAACGCCTGGGCCATTGCCTGCATTTTGATGTAAATAGAGGTAAATCACTATGTTCTTTGTTAAAAATTTGCATATGTTTTGAAGTTTACAATTTTTTTTTGAAGTTTAAGTTTTAAAAACAGTTCATCACACATATTTGTGGTTTTCACAGTAAAAATGTTACTTTTTTCCACTCGGATTTTATGTTTTGTGTGTGAATTTGGGTCCATTGTGTAAATTCAGTATGTCAACATGATAAAATAACTGTAAATTCGCACAGGTGAGGTTGTGCTGAAAAAAAATGATACCAGGCAAGGCACGTGATTGTCAAATTTTGTGTCATTATGACAAAGCATATAGGCGTGAATCTCAACAATATGTATTTTCACCTTAGGGGACAAGAAAAAATGGACTTTTTTCTCCTGCCATGGGGGGGCGCTCTTTTGGGGAGTAAAAATTCCTTCACAAATGTGTTGATGGCTGGACATTGCATCATCCTAGAAAACTTGGAGGCCAGTGAGGACAAAAATAAAAAGTTATAAGACTTTTAAATATGTGGATTTTAGGGTTGTCTTTGGCGCCCCCTAGAACCTAAACCGTGGGGTGCAGCGTCATGATTTGAATAACTTTTAATGGCCATGGGGTGTAGATTGGCCTGAGCAAATGTGGTGCCGGTGGAACGAAAGCCTTAGGAGGAGTTAGCCATATTCCAATGTGTGCGCATCGGCAAAAAATGCGGAATAACCCTTTAACCGTACATTTGACAGATACGCGCGCATTGACTTTTTCGTAGATCTTATTGAGTTACATGTGTGTGTCAATTTTTGTGTCATTTTGACAAAGCGTATAGGCGTGACACTCAACAATGTGTATTTTCACCTTAGGGGACAAGAAAAAATGGACTTTTTTCTCCTGCCATGGGGGGGCGCTCTTTTGGGGAGTAAAAATTCCTTCACAAATGTGTTGATGGCTGGACATTGCATCATCCTAGAAAACTTGGAGGCCAGTGAGGACAAAAATAAAAAGTTATAAGACTTTTAAATATGTGGATTTTAGTGTTATCTTTGGCGCCCCCTAGAACCTAAACCTTGGGGTGCAGCGTCATGATTTTGATAACTTTTAATGGCCACGGGGTGTAGATTGGCCTGAGCAAATGTGGTGCCGGTGGAACGAAAGCCTTCGGAGGAGTTAGCGAAAATCCAATGTGTGCGGATCGGCAAAAAATGCGAAATAACCCTTTAACCGTAATTTTGACAGATACGCCCGCACTGACTTTTTTGTAGATCTTATTGAGATACATGTGTGTGTCAATTTTTGTGTCAATATGACAAAGCGTACAGGCGTGACAGTCAATAGTGTGAATTTCCACCTTAGGGGGCGCTATGGAGCCATTTTGCATTTTATTGTTTTGGCGACTTCAGAATATCAAATTTTTCACCAGGCCCGGTCGTCCTGCCAAATTTCCTGAGTTTTCGCCAGTGGGAAGTGGGCCATTTTCCAGTTCAAAGGGGAGGAAAAAGAAGAACTAGGACCCCGTTGGGGCACTGGCGGGCCCGAGCCGTGTCGCGTCCCCCCCCCCCCCCCCCAACGTGCTGCCTCCCCGTCCCATTTGTGTCCTCTGGCCATCGCCCTCTCTGGTAACGCCCATCACTGCAAAGACCCTTTTCCTTCATCGGCGTTTGCTGTTCTTCCTGCCAGTGCGTGTTGCTTTCACTTACACTTGCCACAGCCAGCCTCGTGAGTGCCTAGCCTATTGGATATCACTGTCACCTACACAGGACAGTCATTACCTTTCTATCAATACTTTGTGTTTTAATTTCACATTAATTTCCATATTGTATAAACGACTGGAAAAAACTTGAGCCCCTGCCCCTGTATAATCATGTGCATGTCTCTGTTCTAGCTCCAAGGTGAATCTTGACTGCTCATGTTCTCCTCAGAAGCAGTCACCTCACTCCCCTCAGGTTACTGTACACATGCACCAACTGCCTGCTTCAGGTTTGGATGGAGCTTCATGGTTGTCTTTTGGAGAAATGACCAGTCAAGTTGTGTTTGAAATTTGATTTTTTTCAGGGGCAAAAGGAGCCTCTGCATTCTTGTCAAATATGTAAATAGCATGTTTTTGCAGGTGCTAAAAACCAGACTCTGAGTGTGAGTGTGTGTGTGTGTGTGTGTGTGTGTGTGTGTGCGTGTGTGTGTCTGTGTGTGCGTTCAAGTCACATGACATATTTAATCGGATGTAGCTGCAAGACGGAGCCTCGTTGACTCTCCGTTTCAACTTATCTCAAAAGTGAGGACCTCAACCTATATACCAGTTTTTAAATTGTGTTGATTAGCCAAATAAAACCAGAGTTATGATAAATTATGTCCGCGATACTTTTTTTCTGCTTATTTTGATCACGTTCGGCGCTCGATCGCGCTGTATGAGACAGGAAAACATAGCATGCAGACATTAGCGACAGGTCTTACAGGCGGAAAAGGCTTGCCAAAAGAAAAAAAAAACACACCACAACATCTCTCCTATTGGTGGAAAACTTCACCACAACAACCAATCCAAAATTATATGGTGACTGATTGACAAGGGGCGGGCGCTTACGTTCTTCCTGCAACATGAGAAGGGAGGGAGGGACTCTCAGCAGGGATGCAGTCTGGGACACGTAGTTGCAAACCTAGCGACTTTGTTGTTAGATTCAATGACTTTTCAGACCCCCTAACGACTTTTTTTTAGAAAGAAAGGGACTTTTATCGACTTCTTCTGGAGTTTAGAGACTCTGACATGAAGCAGGCTTTCCTTACTGAGGAGTTAGCAACGCTGCTAAGGGTGCAGAGCCACACATGCGCTCAGAGCTCTGCATGGGAGACTGAAGCTGACAGAGCTGCAGCAGTTAGCAGGTTTCACCCTCAGAGACCACCAGGGGTTCATGTTGAGGCATTTTAATTTTTTTTTTTTTTTTTGTGCCATAGACACTGTCAGCACAATCTGCAGTTACACTAACAAAAATGCTGCAAAAAACAAAGAATTATGGAAAAATTACACATGGACTGACATAGAGGAGGATCTACACAAGTTTTTTACATCATGTTTTACATCATGCATCATTTACATCATGTTTTTTTGTAGTGGCATAAATAAAAAGTGACATTTGTGAGACTATACAGTGTTTTGTAAATAATTTTACAAAGAACGCCTGGGCCATTGCCTGCATTTTGATGTAAATAGAGGTAAATCACTATGTTCTTTGTTAAAAATTTGCATATGTTTTGAAGTTTACAATTTTTATTTGAAGTTTAAGTTTTAAAAACAGTTCATCACACATATTTGTGGTTTTCACAGTAAAAATGTTACTTTTTTCCACTCGGATTTTATGTTTTGTGTGTGAATTTGGGTCCATTGTGTAAATTCAGTATGTCAACATGATAAAATAACTGTAAATTCGCACAGGTGAGGTTGTGCTGAAAAAAATGATACCAGGCAAGGCACGTGATTGTCAAATTTTGTGTCAATATGACAAAGCGTATAGGCGTGAATCTCAACAATATGTATTTTCACCTTAGGGGACAAGAAAAAATGGACTTTTTTCTCCTGCCATGGGGGGGCGCTCTTTTGGGGAGTAAAAATTCCTTCACAAATGTGTTGATGGCTGGACATTGCATCATCCTAGAAAACTTGGAGGCCAGTGAGGACAAAAATAAAAAGTTATAAGACTTTTAAATATGTGGATTTTAGGGTTATCTTTGGCGCCCCCTAGAACCTAAACCGTGGGGTGCAGCGTCATGATTTGAATAACTTTTAATGGCCATGGGGTGTAGATTGGCCTGAGCAAATGTGGTGCCGGTGGAACGAAAGCCTTCGGAGGAGTTAGCGAAATTCCAATGTGTGCGGATCGGCAAAAAATGCGAAATAACCCTTTAACCGTACATTAGACAGATACGCGCGCTTGGACTTTTTTGTAGATCTTATTGAGATACATGTGTGTGTCAATTTTTGTGTCATTTTGACAAAGCGTACAGGCGTGACAGTCAATAGTGTGAATTTTCACCTTAGGGGACAAGAAAAAATGGACTTTTTTCTCCTGCCATGGGGGGGCGCTCTTTTGGGGAGTAAAAATTCCTTCACAAATGTGTTGATGGCTGGACATTGCATCATCCTAGAAAACTTGGAGGCCAGTGAGGGCAAAAATAAAAAGTTATAAGACTTTTAAATATGTGGATTTTAGTGTTATCTTTGGCGCCCCCTAGAACCTAAACCGTGGGGTGCAGCGTCATGATTTGAATAACTTTTAATGGCCATGGGGTGTAGATTGGCCTGAGCAAATGTGGTGCCGGTGGAACGAAAGCCTTCGGAGGAGTTAGCGAAATTCCAATGTGTGCGGATCGGCAAAAAATGCGAAATAACCCTTTAACCGTACATTTGACAGATACGCCCGCACTGACTTTTTTGTAGATCTTATTGAGATACATGTGTGTGTCAATTTTTGTGTCATTTTGACAAAGCGTACAGGCGTGACAGTCAATAGTGTGAATTTTCACCTTAGGGGGCGCTATGGAGCCATTTTGCATTTTCTTGTTTGGGCGACTTCGGAATATCAAATTTTTCACCAGGCCCGGTCGTCCTGCCAAATTTCATGAGTTTTCGCCAGTGGGAAGTGGGCCATTTTCCAGTTCAAAGGGGAGGAAAAATAATAATAATAACAAAAGAAGGAAACTACAGGAACAAGAGGGCTCTCGCAGCTGCTTAGCAGCTACGCTCGGGCCCTAAAGAAAGAAACAAAGAAAAACCCCTACAGGAATAACAGGGCCTACGCCCGGCTGCTCTGCAGCTGGCTCGGGCCCTAAAGAAAGAAACAAAGAAAAACCCCTACAGGAATAACAGGGCCTACGCCCGGCTGCTCTGCAGCTGGCTCGGGCCCTAAAGAAAGAAAGAAAGAAAGAAAGAAACAAAGAAAAACCACTTGGGGAATAATAGGGCCTACGCCCGGCTGCTCTGCAGCTGGCTCGGGCCCTAATAATAACAAAAGAAGGAAACTACAGGAACAAGAGGGCTCTCGCAGCTGCTTAGCAGCTACGCTCGGGCCCTAAAAACCACTTGGGGAATAATAGGGCCTACGCCCGGCTGCTCTGCAGCTGGCTCGGGCCCTAAAAAAAACGTTTTTAAATCTTAAAGAATAAAGTTATTATTTGGGAGAATAAAGTCATTAATATCAGTATTAAGTCGTAAAGTTACCTGTTGTGAAGGAGAGTTGTTAAAATCAGCACTGTGGAGCATTTAGATGAATTGTACTTTAGTATAGGTTTCACAAACATGGAGATACTTAATCCTTTGGTACATAAGCATTACACTGTCATGAGTATCAGAACTTATATTTGAGATAGGCCTATATGAGAAATGCTGCTTTTGTGGAGGGGAAAATGGCTGGAAGTGGCTGTACAGAGGCTAAATCCGTCAATGCAGCTGTTGTAGGGGAATGTCTTCATACATTTAGGTTAAGAAATATAGAGTAATTATCTTTTAGTAAGAAGCTACAAATAATCTAGGTTGGCCTGCTCCTGCTGCCCCACGACCATGAGAGGCTGTCTTGCAGGAGCCCCAACTATCTGTCTGTTGGAACATGTAATCTCTGCCAGGGTCAAGACAAACCTAAACAAAGTGTCGTGGGGCAGACATGTCATCATGAGGGGCCTTCTGGAGAATACACATACACACACACACACACACACACACACACCTAACAGCATAAAAGAGAGTAGAAGTAAAGCTAGGGAGGCTTCCTTCGGTCTTGGTCGAGACGCTGTTTGTCATCTGTACTGATTTCTACATCTGTACTATTAAAGACCCCCAGGCTGTTCTTCAGATCTCATCCTGTCTCCTGTGCATTGATTATGCTGGACTTTCCACAACACTGTTAATAGCAATAGCATAGGGCTTTAGTTTATCATATGAGTTTATATGCCATGAGGTGTTGAGGTCTCTTACTGTAATCATCGGGTCTATCTCGTCCTTATAAAAACCTGCTCTGTTACGGCGAGTGTCTGTCTTCTTCTGTAGTCAAACCGTAAGATATCAAAATCTACCCGGATACAGCAATGCTGCTTTTTTATTGGCTGTTCAGTAGATATATTTTATTTGGCTTGGCTTTACTTGGCTTGCGCGTGGCACGCAGCTTCTGAACTCAGTTGATTCCTACCTGTTCCATAGTTAAAGAAGTGCAACTTGGTGGACATCACCATGTTCATTTAAATGCGTGAGAAATACAATGTGTGGCGTGTGAACGGGTGGGAATGCGTGTGTCACACGCTGAATGCGTGAGACTTGAGAGACCTTTATATTTGAGATTAATGTTTGACAGAAATGTAGATTTCTTCAACACAGGCGTACTGCATTTATTTGAGGATAAAACTGCTCTTGTTTCCTGAATTAACAAGAATTATATCTCAGAATTAACTAAAACATTTTCGGGGGGAAAAAAGTTCTTTTTTTATATAGTTAACAAAACTAATCATGTTAGAATTAAAAGATGAACTTCAATTTGTAAAAGAAAACATTCGTCCCAGTTTTTCTGTGTTCAAAGACTGGTGTTTTAGCTTTAAAGGAATATTCAGAATAAAAATAATATCCCCTTTTCTCTAAAATAATGACATAAAGCAGCCTTTTTTGTTTTTATGATCTGGATATAGCACACACCATGTAAAATTTTAGCACATGGGTGTCTAAATTCAGGTGAAAACTGCAAACATAGCAAGGGACAAAGTAAAATGTCAAAAAAAATCTCCAAAGAAACAAGCAATATTTAGGATTGATACCACTGAAACACAGAGGAAAACCAAATGATCATAAAGATTTATTTTGAGTTCTTTAAAAAAAATTATCAAGCAATTCATTTCCAATTCACTGTAGTGTGTGATCAGCACAGCTGATTTGTTACACTAGATAAAACAATTTTACGACTGTGTACATTTTTTTTTTATTAAGATACAATATTTTAGCACACCTTTTCAATAGCATTTTATTTGTGGTCCGGGTGATACATCCGTCCGTACAGACAGGAGGTCACCAGTCCAGCAGTCATGTCTGAGTGTTTTAAAGTCACTCTTCCATCTGCAGATTTGTCAAAATCTTCCTTCCTTACTTCCTCTATAACCATTTGACTCGCCAAAACTGATGGGTACACATATCTGGTTCCAAACTTCCCCTCCATCACAAGTCCATTTTGGTCTCAGCTTCTTCTACTCCCTGTCCACAGGAGCTTGGGTCCGACCCTGCACAACGGATGAGTGCACACACCTGCAGAAGGAAGGATACAGGTGAGACATGTTGTAAAGGACAGTGTCTATATCCATAAACCCTTTAGTTCATACCTGCAGGGATAGGTCTCCATCCAAAGTGTGCAGCCCAGCAAACGCACCAAATGCATACAGCTCCTCACTGTCACCCTGTGAAATTCGCTTGTACTGCAGGTGACAGTAAAAGGAGCCATTGCACACCTTCACCCTACCCTCTTTTTCATTTAGGAGGACAAATGTGAACGGGTCACCAATCATGAATGATGTGAATGTGGCTGATGATGCATCAGAGCAGCTCTCACTGTGACAGAATCCAGATTCTGTAACAGGGGATGAAGTGGACTCAGACTCCAATTTCTCCTCCTCTGTGGCCACCCTCTGCCCTGACCACTCTGGGTCTAAGACTGGCACCCTGGCCACCAGCAGCTTGCCCTCCTCTGGGTCTCCCCTCTTTGAGTGATGGTAGATGGATGAAAAAGGTGTGTAGATACCACTCCCAGCCATGTTCTTATTATCATGGCGAAAACCAAGGTCCGAACCAAGCTGTAGGGAAGATCAGCTGACGAACACCCTAAAAAGAGCGGGAAGAGAGTCTGCTTTAAAAAAAGAGATCCGACACAGGGACATAGAGCTAAATACACAATTGTGAGTGGTTTTACCTTTTCCACCAGTGCTATAGTGGGCTTGTAAAATAGGATGTCAAGGCATATTAGCAGGCCAAATTTTCCAGCAAAAGGAGTATCAAATGTGATGATCTCAGGCTGTGGTGGAGTGTCAAAGGACTCCTCAGGGAAAGGATTGTATTTATGGTAGCGTGCCACCAGCAGGCCATCAGACCTAGAAGATAATGAAATTAAGAATTCATGTGTTGATGCATTTGCTGATGCATTTATAACTTTCCAATAAATCATACCTATTGAGTGGCTCGTGCAGCCTGCACTTCGTAGATATCAACGTTTTTCTGCATGTGTTGAAGGGCAGCCTGCCGCGACACCGGGACACGAGGGTCTGGGTTGGTGATTAAATTGTGGTCATACACAGCAGCGATGTATGAGGACTCCATTGCTGGCTGTGTTTGACCAGCAGCCACTGTCAAATAGATACCGACTATGACACTGAATAGTTTCATGGCGTCACTCGACAGAGACAGAAATGAAGTCAATAAGATCAACTCGGTCTATTATAGCTCTTGAGGGGTCAGGAGTCCAACTCGAGTCTACAGTAATGAGGGGTGAGTCAGCAATTCTTTTTTTTCTTTTTCCTTTTGTCTGTTTATTTTTTATTTTTTTGGATTGTTTGTAGAGTCACTTGGGAAACCCATTTTGCGAAATGTTGACTGAACAAATATATGGACAATTATAGTTGTAACTTCTACATACACCGTGCACATGTAGAAAAAGGTTGTAGTTTTAACAACCTCAGCAGCTTACTGGGCCAATTTCAGATTACCTTAAAGCACCTGTGTACAATCACCTATGTGTCCCAGTGGCCTTCGAGCTGGACCAGCTGCTCCAATCAGAAAAACAATTGACTTAACTCTATGTGTTCAAGATAACTCTCTGGTAGACCCAGGGATGCTGAGGAGCTCTGAACCATTTCTCCTCTGTTTTTGTCTCTATCTTATGGCTTTTTAGCAGGGGTCTGGGTCTGCTCCAGGTTTTCTGCCTTCTTGGTGAGAAGGTTTCTTCTGTACCACTCTAACTTTTTCCCTCCTTTTTTATCTTTGTTTTAAACATTTCTTTCTTCTTTCTTCCTCCCTTAATCCATGTTTGAATTGTTTTTATTATCACAAGTAGTGCCTGATACTTCTGCCAAAGCAGTTTACCAAACAATTAATTACCTGTCTATCACAAAATGTTTAACTCGGATGAAGACATCTAGTTTACAGCATTTGATAGATAAAGTTGATCATATATTTTTTTTTTCTTTCTGTCCTTCTTTCTTCCAGTTCTTTTCTTTCTTTGGTTATAAATCATTTTGTAGTTTGGCCAGTAAAGGTGTTGAATAATCAGCAGAAGAGACAGGATTCATGCCTTCTGATTACTAACACAACTCAAAAGTAGCTTGAGTAAAAATGATTATAAATGTTTAGGCTTTTTTTACCCCCCTTCCTTCCAGCCACCTGTCCTCCCTTCTTTCTTTCTTTTTCTTTCTTTCTTTCTTTTAGTAACTCCTGTTGTGATTTCAGCCACAGTTTTTTTTACCCCTAACACACCTGAGAACTATGACGAGTTTTTCTTTTCACCTGAGCTGACCCACAGTGCTGACATAATAATAAAGACTGTTTAAAAGCATACTCAGCACTAAACATAAAGCGTCCTCTAGCGGCTGTAACAAACCACTTGAGAATAAATCAGTTTGTATTTAAGAACTTGGTTTTACAGCCTCATCAGTCTTAATATTTCACAAATCTTGTGTTTTTCTGAACTCTTGTTTTCTTCTTCTATGCGCATATTATATGGTATCCAATACAAATAATTTAAAATGCTGTGAGGAGACAGGCTGTAAGTGTGTGCAAAGGGTTCAAGAACTTTCATCTTTCGAAAACACAACCTAAGAAATGGTTTAAAATAAAATGTCACAATTTACAGTACCTTGCGAAAGTATTCGGCCCCCTTAAACCTTTCAACCGTTCGCCACATTTCAAACATAAAGATATAAAATTTTAATTTTTTGTCAAGAATCAAAACAAGTGGGACACAATCGTGAAGTGGAACAAAATTTATTGGATAATTTAAACTTTTTTAACAAATAAAATACTAAAAAGTGGGGCGTGCAATATTATTCTGCCCCTTTACTTTCAGTGCAGCAAACTCACTCCAGAAGTTCAGTGAGGATCTCTGAATGATCCAATGTTGTCCTAAATGACTGATGATGATAAATAGAATCCACCTGTGTGTAATCAAGTCTCCGTATAAATGCACCTGCTCCGTGATAGTCTCAGGGTTCTGTTTAAAGCGCAGAGAGCATCATGAAGACCAAGGAACACACCAGGCAGGTCCGAGATACTGTTGTGGAGAAGTTTAAAGCCGGATTTGCATACAAAAAGATTTCCCAAGCTTTAAACATCTCAAGGAGCACTGTGCAAGCAATCATATTGAAATGGAAGGAGTATCAGACCACTGCACATCTACCAAGAACCAGCCGTCCCTCCAAACTTTCATCTCGAACAAGGAGAAGACTGATCAGAGATGCAGCCAAGAGGCCCATGATCACTCTGGATGAACTGCAGAGATCTACAGCTGAGGTGGGAGAGTCTGTCCATAGGACAACAATCAGTCGAACACTGCACAAATCTGGCCTTTATGGAAGAGTGGCAAGAAGAAAGCCATTTCTCAAAGATATCCATAAAAAGTCTTGTTTAAAGTTTGCCACAAGCCACCTGGCAGACACACCAAACATGTGGAAGAAGGTGCTCTGGTCAGATGAAACCAAAATCGAATTTTTTGGCCACAATGCAAAACGATATGTTTGGCGTAAAAGCAACACAGCTCATCACCCTGAACACACCATCCCCACTGTCAAACATGGTGGTGGCAGCATCATGGTTTGGGTCTGCTTTTCTTCAGCAGGGACAGGGAAGATGGTTAAAATTGATGGGAAGATGGATGGAGCCAAATACAGGACCATTCTAGAAGAAAACCTGTTGGAGTCTGCAAAAGACCTGAGACTGGGACGGCGATTTATCTTCCAACAGGACAATGATCCAAAACATAAAGCCAAATCTACAATGGAATGGTCCACAAATAAATGTATACAGGTATTAGAATGGCTAAGTCAAAGCCCAGACCTGAATTCAATTGAGAATCTGTGGAAAGAACTGAAGACTGCTGTTCACAAACGCTCTCCATCCAACCTCACTGAGCTCGAGCTGTTTTGCAAGGAAGAATGGGCAAGAATTTCAGTCTCTCGATGTGCAAACTGATAGAGACATACCCCAAGTGACTTGCAGCTGTAATTGCAGCAAAAGGTGGCGCTACAAAGTATTAACGCAAGGGGGCCGAATAATATTGCACGCCCCACTTTTCAGTTTTTTATTTGTTAAAAAAGTTTAAATTATCCAATAAATTTTGTTCCACTTCACGATTGTTTCCCACTTGTTGTTGATTCTTGACAAAAAAGTTAAAATTTTACATATGTATGTTTGAAGCCTGAAATGTGGCGAAAGGTTGAAAGGTTCAAGGGGGCTGAATACTTTCGCAAGGCACTGTATTTGCATGTGCAAAATGTGGTGCAGCCTCCTTGTCAACATTGCTGCTCTCCTCCCAGAGTTTCTTCTGTGCTTTTCAGTCACCAGCTGGATAACTGTTGTGTTAGGAGGCCACTCTTACACTTGTTCAACTATAATGAAAAGACAAAAATATTAAAATACAATATCCTTTAACAGATATCCACCAAAGTATGTAGAGACCAATCTTTAAGAAGTGATTACATTCTGAAAGAAAAGAACAAAGGATGCAGTCAGTGTACCTTCATGCCCTGAAACTCTTGTCCATGTTCACCATCTTTGCTGCTGTTCTCATCTTATCTTCTTCTTTCGGCTGCTTATCATCTTCACTCTCATCCTTGCGAGTGTCTGTTGTATAGAGATAAATATAAGGAGATGAAAGATGAAGAAAATGCAGGTCAATGGAGCAGCACACAAAGACAACAGTTTAATGAAACATGACACATTCATCAAACTTTACTTACTTTACTACTCCATGTTGTCTTGTTCATCCAATCTCATTCTGCATCACCGAGTTGGTCTTTGGCCTCCTCTGGAGTCATTTTAGGCGTTTGACTCTTTGAAGTTACCTGAAACAAACATGAATTTCAGCCCTTCATTCAAAATTGTCTATTTTTTTTCTTAAAAGCCGAACCTTTTAAGTAGTAAAAGAGTTATTTACCTTCAAATTCCCAGAAACACACAGTACATCCATCATTCTTCTTTTCTTCATCTCTCCATGGGCCTGTCTCTCGTATGTTTGGTCCTCATGCTTCTTCTGTCTCGTGCTCGGCTCTTCTGGGGGTTTCTTCTCGATTGAGGTCCTTTTCCTAAAAAAAACAAAAAGAAAATGGGTCCTACACTGACTTTGTTTCATGTTAACAATGACTCTGGAGGAACCATACTCACCTTTAGACCCACTTACCCACTAAGTGAATGAATCAAGTAAAGAGGTCATGCGAAAGGACATGACACAACACAACACATCACAACACAAACACACACGCAATGACACAACACAGAAGAAAACAACACATCACAATACGAGGTAACAGAGCACATAACGACACATAACATCAAACATGACGACACAACACAACACATTAAAAAACAAGACATCACGACATAAACACATGCATGACAACACAACCCATGATACAAAACAACACATCACAAGACACTATACTAAAACTGCGCCACTACACAAAACATCCCAACACATAACATCAAAATAAATAACCACACAACACAACCAAGGACTTTTGAAGTTTTGCCCAATGAGTCCAAGGTGAAGTCGTTTTTTTCTGCCTTTAATTGAAGCTTAATTGGTTTTTTTTTGGAGCCAGTGTGAGAGGAGGAGCTGGAGCGGAATGAGGGATTTGTTGTCATTGACTTAAATGCAGAGCAGGATGCCGGAGGCTTTTATTGGAGGAGAAGAGGAGATGCTGCTAAAGAGCTGGAGACTAATACTGAATTACTGAACAACCTTATTTGTTTTTTTTAGGAGCCAGTGTGAGAGGAGGAGCTGGAGCGGAGTGAGGGATTCGTCGTCATTGACTTTGTAGCAGAGCAGGATGCCAGAGGCTTTTATTGGAGGAGAAGAGGAGATGCTGCTGAGGAGCTGGAGACTAACTAATGCCTAATTACTAAACAACCCAATATTCCTAATAATTTAACTTCAGCCAAATTTAGAGGCGAGGGTGGAGCTGGAAAAGAGCAGGTGGAAAAGCAAATATGGGGTATCTGAACAGCCAGCGTATTTACTTATTCTAACTTAACTTATTCTAAGTTGACTTATCATAACTAAACAACTTAACTTATTCTAACTTATCTTAACTAAAACTTAACTTACTCTAACTTATCTTAATTAAACAACTTAACTTACTCTAACTTAACTTATCATAACTAAACAACTTAACTTACTCTAACTTAACTTATCATAACTAAACATCTTAACTTATTCTAACCTAACTACAGCACAACATGACCCCCAAAAGGACTCTTGCTTGGACGATTGTTTTTCATCCATCCAGCAGGCCTCTTGTGAGTCACGTTAGACCGCTGGAACCTGATCTTCATGAGGCGCTGAAGATTCTTCTTCCACCTGGGCTCAGGACCCTTGGAGATGACCCTTTATTGATCACAGGAGAAGGTGACACTCAAGAGATGGCCTACAAGGACCATGATGAGAAATTGAGAATGTTTCTCAGCAGATGCAGTGAAAAGAATATCAAACTGAATGCAGAAAAGTTTAGGTTGAGGCAGCAGGAGGTGCCATATATCGGACACCTGCTGACAGCAGATGGACTGAAGATTGATTCTGAGAAGATCGGAGCAGTGAGAGACATGCCGAGACCAACTGATGTGAAGGGTGTACAGAGACTAATGGGCATGGTGAATTATCTCTCTAAATTCTACAAACACCTGTCAGATGACTGTGAGATACTGAGACAGCTCACACACAAGGAAAATATGTGGGATTAAAAAGAAATGCACTACGGAGCATTCAGCAGGCTCAAGGACAATATAGTCAAAGCACCAGTACTGCAGAACTATAACCCACAAGAGGAACTGACATTGCAGTGTGATGCTTCAGAAATGGGTCTGGGAGCAGCACTGACTCAAGAGGGGAAACCTGTGGCATTCGGGAACAGAGCACTGACACCAACTGAAAGGGACTATGCCCAAATCGAAAAAGAATGTTTAGCTATTGTCTATGGCATGGAGAAATTCCATCAATACACTTATGGCCGGAGAGTGACAGTACAGAGTGACCAAAAGCCATTGGAGAATATTGCCAGGAAGCCACTGTTAAGTGCACCAAAGAGACTCCAACGTGTGCTGCTCCGGCTACAGAGATATGATTTTGATGTGATTTATGTCCCAGGTCGTGACATGTTACTTGCAGATACACTGAGCAGAGCATACTTACCAGAGTGCTCATCTACAGGGACTGTGGAAGCTGAGATCGAGACAGTCAACATGGTGGCCTACTTGCCTATTTCTGAGGAGAGACTGAGCACAATCTGCTCTGCTACACAAACAGACCAAACACCACAGACACTTAGTGACACCATTCAGAAGGGATGGCCTAAACACAAGAAAGACATGCTGAGGGATATGATGCACTACTACTCATTCCAGGAGGAACTGAGTGTGCAGGATGGCATCTTCTTCAGAGGGGAGAGAGCTGTCATCCTGTACTCCCTACAAAGAGATGTCACCCACCGGATTCACTCCTCTCACCTGGGGGTGGAGGCATGCCTCAGGCATGCAAGAGAATGTGTCTACTGGCCTGGAATGAATGAACAGATAAAGACTTTTGTACTGAAATGTGACATATGCAGATCAGTTGACACAAAACAACAAAAAGAGACCCTACATCCACATGAGGTAGAAGGTAGACCATGGGCCAAGGTTTGTACAGATTTGTTTACCTTTGACAATAAAAACTAACTCATCACAGTTGACTAGTACTCTAACTTTTGGGAAGATGATTACCTACCTGATACAAAGTCAAGTATTGTAATACAGAAGTTTAAGGCTTACTTTTCTAGGCAAGGCGTGCCGTATCGTCTGTTTTCGGACAATGGGCCACAGTACACGTCGCAAGAGTTCCTCCGTTTCAGTCAGCTATGGGAGCTCGAGCACAAGACTTTGTCTCCTGGATACCCTCAGACCAACGGGAAGGCCCAGTCTGCTGTGAAAATGGTGAAAATGCTGATGATGAAAGCTAAGGCAGTGGGACAAGACCTGTACCAAGGCCTAAATACAGGCCCAACTCAGAGACTGCTGAGCAGGAGAACCAGAACCCTGCTAACAACACAGGACAAGTCTTCTGAAACCTGAATTGAAGGACACAACGTGACAGCTTATCGACAGGCAGGAGAAGCAAGCCAAATACTACAACAGGACTGCAAAGGACATGGACATGTTCAAACAGGGAGACCGACAAAACCCACAGGGTCTGGAACAGCTCCGCTCCACTCCGGCACGGCCAGCGGATCAAATCCGCAAGCATTATAATTAATGTGAGTCATTCCACAGAATCCATGCAGCGTCTGGCTCTGCTGTGAATCGACTCCGGCAGCCAGATCAGATATGCAGGGCTTCTTTTTTTGCTGAATGCACGGCACATCAATTCAGTGCAGCGCAGCACAAGCAGCAGCGGAAATTGTACGCAGTTACAGAGTAAAAATACTTATACTTACATTTTCAAAATGAAATTGAGTCAATACATTGAACTGTGTTAATTCTAACAATTAGAAAAAGGAGTAAATAACAAGAACCTTACTAGAATTAAAACTGCTAACATAGCTGAACCAACTACAAGTAAGATAAAATGTGGTCTACTGAATATAAGGTCTCTAAGTTCCAAATCTGTGTTAATAAATGAACTAATCTCTGATCATCGCATTGATTTACTCTCCCTAACCGAAACTTGGCTGCGTCAGGATGAATATGTCAGCTTAAATGAATCCACTCCTCCTAGCCACCTAAGCTTGCACATTCCTTGGGACTCTGGCCGAGGTGGTGGAGGTGCAGCTATCTACAATTCCAGTCTTGAAATTAACTCAAGACCAAAACTGGATTATAAATCTTTTGAAAGTCTTGTTCTCAGTGTTCTGCATCCAGCCTCAAAGACCATGAGACCACTGGTATTTGCTATAGTTTATCGCCCTCCAAGCCCATACCCTGAGTTTTTGTCAGAATTCTCAGAGTTTCTATCTGATTTAGTCCTTCTCGCAGACAAAGTCATCGTCGTTGGTGACTTTAATATTCATGTTGATGTGGAAAATGATAGCCTAAGCATTTCTTTCTTGTCCTTGCTAGACTCAATTGGGTTTACACAGTGTGTACATAGACCTACGCACTGCTTTAACCACACCCTCAATCTTGTCCTGGCTTATGGCCTTGAAGCTGAAGCCTTGTCAGTCAGCTCATTAAATCCTGTTTTATCTGATCACTTTCTAGTAACTTTTGAATTTGTGTTTTCAGGCTACTCTCCTCATAACAAAGCTGTTGTATTGAAGACTCAGGAGTGGCTAGAAGATTAGTTTTATTGTTTACTTTAAGAACCCCTCTAAGCAGTAACATTGGCTTCCCACTGCTCCCTGCCCAGTTAAGCCCCCTTTCTTCTTTACTTCTGGTTTGTTATTTTGATATATCTTGTTTATCATTGTTACTGCAGCGATGTACAGTTGTTATTGTTGTTGTGTTGTGCCCGATTTCATTCATACAGCGGAGATATACGTTCTTTCAGTGTTGCTGTAATTAGGCTGATGTGTTCGTATCAGTGCGCGTGTGATTTGGTGCGAGTGTGTGTGTGTCTGCCTGTAGAGTGAGAGGAGAAAGTTTGAGAAGAGAAGACGATCGGAACAGCTTCGGGTGTCCTACAGATGTACATTTCGGTGAAGTTTTGTGTGATTAATAACCCGCACAACAAGTTGTTTTTAGACCTGTGAAGATTATACCTTAAAGAGGAAACAAACGGACTTTGAACTGAAGTTAGTTCGCCGATTAATGTGAGCTCACGTTTTCCCGACAGTGGCTAGCTAGGTCTCGCTAGCTGCGTCATTGTCCTTCGTATCCCGGCAAACGTTAACTGGCCCCAATTTAAGGACTTAGTTCACCCCCTCCTCCTCTGGACCACATCTTCACCCCCTCCCCTCTTCACCAGAGAACAGTTTTCCATTCATCTTCCGTGGACACCTGATCACATAATCCCTCAACACCAGGGGCCTGTTCTACGAAGCAAGTTCAACTTAGCGAGGTAGCCTTGGAGCTACCTCGCTCAACTTAGCGCGGTAGCCAGCGGTCTCGCTAAGCGGTTTTACGACGCTGGTTATCAACCTCATAAGTAGATCCAGCTTTGCTATGAGCGCGTGCACATATATAAGGCGGAGCTCGCCGCATCTGACAAATCGCGAACATGGATCAGTCTGGAGCGTCAGAGCAGCAGGCTGGAGAGTGAAGGACCGCGGACTTTACAAACGAGGAACAGGAGACGATCATGAAAAAGTATGAAGAATTCAAAGCTATCACAATCCTCAAAAGCAACACCGTCGCCGCTGCAAAAGCACGGAGGGCATGCTGGCAGAAAAGTAATCTTTGATGCCATTATCACCCTGAAATAGCACTGTTCAACATGCGCTTTTAACTAAGGTGACAGTCCCCGAATTGGATGATCTGTCCCCGGCTAAAGCTGTCCCCGAAAATGTCCCTGATTTAAGCGTTTCATGAATGAGAACAAAAATGTTGCATGTGGGCTCGAACAACGGTTATTACAGTAGGTAGGAAGCACAAGTAAGCAGTCCTGAAAAACAGTTTTTACGGGGGTTATTACAAGGGGCGTGCGCTGCTACTAAATAGTACCAAGATCTTGTCTGTGATCGCGCAGCTCATGCCCATTCATTCCCAAGATGAATCATTCATTTGTTCATTCCTATCGTGTTTACATGTTTTGTGTAATATGTCAGCCATATGAGCCTTTCATAAAGGTGGTCATCCGGAGAAAACTCTCCCTGTAAACTCTCGCGAGCCACAGTGCTCCTCGGACATTGCGAGCACCGAGGTCTACAGGATCCTCCAAGAACGGACAAGCCGTTTTTCGAGAGAGCTCATTGGTCAGTGGGCGGGGTTTTTATACTCCGTGAGTTCAATCTGGAACTTAACCTGCCCCGGAGCAGGTTAGCCGTTCAGTGTATATTATGGAGACTCGCCTCGCTAAGAAGTGAACCGGCGTCGTAGAACAGGAAACCCCGAACTTATCCTCGAAGTTACCTCGCTAAGCAGTAATCCTGCTTCGTAGAACAGGCCCCTGGACCTCTCCACAGACCTCCATCCTGACCGAATCACAATCCTCACGTCCTCCTCTGAGCTCCGACCCCGGGCAACATTTGTACCATTAGTTTAGGATTAGGTAGGGACTTAGTATAGTTAGATAGGACATATTTATTATAAGATTTAGTGAGTCAATTGTGCATTGTTTGTTTGTGTTATAATAAATGTCTATGTTGTTGCCTTTATATCCTTGTCCCTCCCCTGTTATTTAGTGAGAGTCCACAGCATCTTTGTCCATAGTAAGGGACGCCAGGGAGCGGTGGCTAGCGCCCTACTGTACCTTACAGTTCTTAGTTAAATTGTGGTCCTACGCTACAGCCATGCTAACTAGAAGGTTGTCTGAAAATGCTGTGACTAAGTTCAAGGAGGCAATTCCGTCTGCTCTTAATTCTGTGCTTGAGAAGAACTTCGCTGATAGCTCATACTTAAACATCAGTCCCTTGCAACTTGATCAGTTCGTCGATGATACCTCAGGCACATTGTGATCAATTCTTGACTCAGTTGCTCCTCTTCAACAGAAAACTCTTATACGCGAGAGGCTAGCTCTGTGGTATAATGCTGAAACCCGTGAGCTGAAACAGTTATTAAGAAGACGAGAAAGGATTTGGCGCTCTTCCAAAACAGCTGAAGCTCGTTTTCTCTGGCAGGAATGTCTCGATAAATATAAGAAGGCCCTACGACGTGCTCGGACAACTTACTACTCGTCTCTTATTGAGGAAAATAAGAATAACCCCAGATAACCGCTGAACCGTGTATCCCATTAGCCCTCAGCAGCGACGACTTCTTGAGCTTCTTCAATGAAAAAAACTTAAGAATAAGAGGTAAAATTAGTAACCTCTTGCCTTCATCAGGTGTCTCTCTCTTAGATAACCCTAAAAATGTTGAGGAGCCCCTAAGGCCACTGGTGCACCTTAGTAACTTTGCACCTATTGACCTTCCTGAGTTAAAGTCAGTGGTGCTGGCAGCCAAACCATCTACATGTCTTTTGGACCCAATTCCATCTAAATTGCTGAAGGAAACTCTTCCTTTGATCAGTACGTCCTTGCTTAACTTGATCAACACGTCTTTATTAACAGGATATGTTCCCCAGTCTTTCAAGACTGCATTGATTAAGCCTCTCCTTAAACCTACTCTTGACTCAAGCACCCTAGCTAATTATAGACCAATATCCAACCTTCCTTTTATTTCTAAAGTCCTGGAGAAAGTTGTTGCAAATCAACTTTATGATTTTCTTCATAACAACGGTTTATTGGAGGATTTCCAGTCTGGCTTTAGAACCCATCACAGCACGGAGACTGCTCTGCTGAAGGTGACAAATGACCTACTCGTGGCTTCGGACAGTGGTCTTCTCTCTGTTCTCGTCCTGTTGGATCTTAGTGCTGCATTTGACACGATCGACCACTGTATCCTGCTTCAGAGACTGGAACAATCTATCGGCATAGCAGGATCAGCTCTCTCCTGGTTTAAATCTTATCTAACGGATCGATCCCAGTTTGTCCATGTTAATAATGAATCCTCTGCACACACCAAGGTCTGCTACGGAGTGCCGCAAGGGTCAGTGCTTGGACCGATCCTCTTTACCTTGTACATGCTTCTGCTGGGTAAAATTATGAGGAAGTACTCGATTAATTTTCACTGTTATGCAGATGACACCCAGCTATACTTATCCATGAAGCCGGAGGAAGCAGGCCAGGTTGCCAGGTTGGAAGCCTGTCTCAAGGATATAAAATCCTGGATGACCAATAACTTTCTGATGCTCAACTCAGACAAAACTGAAGTTCTTGTCCTCAGTCCTAAACACCTTAGAGAGGCATTCTCTAGTAATTTAGCTACGCTTGATGGCATCAGT